CTATTAATACTATATATGTTTACGGAAACCTTGACTTTTGTATCAGAGTTTTCAAAGAGTTTCCACAGGCTATAAAAACTTGTAACTGGTATAGATCTAGTTGATCTAGACCTGTCAAACTTCATAGGAAGCCAACATTTTAAACGGATCTTTTAGATTATTTTTATCATTAATAATATAATTTCTCACAGAATCTAAAACGGGTGTAAGAATGATCCGGTTTAGGTGTGGATCATGTTTTAGATTCACATTTAGCGCTGACCTAGTTTAGCGCAGTCAAGTTCAAATCGGAGGCCAACTTCAGCGTGGGGACTTGCCTGCATTTGCTGCGTTGTTTGAAAGTAGCCCTTCACAAAGAGCCAGTATAAAGTGGTGGCGAAGCTCGGTCCGCCCAGGTCATCTATTGTTTTCTGCTTGCTGACGCCCATCACGGTGCCGCCGCTGGCCGTGGAGGTCTGCCTTCGCTGGGGGGCCCCATGCAGCCCCGCCGCGGCCCCCAAGAGCCCCTCATGTCTGCGGCGGCCCAGCTGCAGACAGATGTTCACCACAGGTTTCCTCAACATTATGGCGTAGAGTTATCCGCGGTGAGAAGAAGCAAAGCTGCAGTAGCCCCGTAGCTCAGTCCGCCTCTGTGTGTCTGTGGGATGGGGCGGCTGTAAATAATGGCTCCTTGTTTGCAGTTCAGCTCTGTGGACTTTGACAGCTCTCTGCAGAGAGACGTTTGCTGTTTGCTGCACATTCATGCATGCACCTGTAGAGGGGATGATCTCATCCATGCAGACAACAAGAAATAGAAAGATGCAGCAGGTTCACTAAAAATTATTTATTTATTTACTTATTTTTTATTCATATTCATTGCTGTCTCATGCAGAGGCGGAGCTAGATTTCTTTCTCTTTTTTTGTCAGTGGTGGAGGGGGGCCAAAACTGTCTCAGGTGGCTTTAGAGACATAAATATTCTTAAAGTCATATCCTCTCCTTTCTTGCATCTCCCTTACCATTTCCCTTTGTTTTCTGCTTTCCTTATTTTCATTGTCCTCCCTTTGCAGATTAGATATGGCCCCAAAATTAAACTTGAGCTTTAGTATTTTATATTCTAAGGTGAACACAAAGGACTGGAAACTCTACAAATCGGACTCTGGAAAAGTATTGAATACTTGGATGAAAATGTGTGTTTTAATCTGACTATAGATATGAAATATTTCTTTGTAAAACACGTTACCTGAAGAGTTGGGGTGAGAAACCATGTCTGATTCAGTTTATTGACCCAAGATCGCTGTAGCCTCAACTTAGACTTAAACAAACTTTATTGTCATTTTATATACAGAGTATATAAAAAATGAAATTTCAATACATACAGCTTTTGGACAGCAGCTTAGCAGTGAAATGAACATTTCCATTAATAAAGTGCAGAAGTGATCAGAATGTAAACAGTGTAGGAGAGACATGGTGCAAAAGGAATTGATGTGGAAGGTTCAGAGCAGTGCAAAAATAAATAAATAAATGTGGTGCAAAATTCAGTAGAACACCAAGTTGAATTATATTTCATTAACGGGATTTAGGAATTTGCCATGTAGTGCAATTATGATGTTTACGGTGTGATGCAGAGTACTGATTTGTGACTTGATTAGTTTTCAGTAGTTTAACAGCTTTAAGCAGTGGGGATTAAACTGTTGCAGACCCTGCTGGTCCTCCATCGCATAAATGCAGGAACAGCATTGAAGAGAGCGACCAGTATGAGAGAGCTTTAGGGAACTATCCTGCAGCTGGCTACCAACATAACATACAGTCCAAGAAAAATAACATTTTGCTCCAGACATGAACTCCTGTAATAGTTGCACGCCATGTTAACTGCTGAGTGGATGCTGTACTTCATATGGGGCCCACCCAGATAATGTTGTTCACGGGCCTATTGTTGTGTCGTTACGCTGTTGCATAGGGAAATCATATTTAAATGTCAAATCATTCTGGCCTAAAATGTATATAAATGCACTCTTTATCAGACCATATTGTCCCAAAATTTAGAAAATCTTTATTTAACCTCTTAATATCCACCTCATTTTGGAAAATTCTCGCCTATTTTGCATACCCAAATGGAAAAGCAAATAACTTAGCAACTGTAAGCCCAAATTACATGTGACACATTATTTGAAAGCTAACACCTTCTAGTCTCTGAATATATACATGAAACCTGGGTGAGTAAAACACCCAAGCTGCATCCGTTAAATCAACACTCAAAGTCATTTTTTTTTATTCTGGAAAATAATAAGTGCTTTTTGAACAGCAGTTATAAAGACATGCTTGTTGTGGCTGCTTTGTCATGGTACATTTTGACATGCTGCTATATCTGCTATAATTGTGCTTTGGTGCTCACTATGTCCATAAAATGAAATTGGTGGTTGAATTGTAGAGAATCTAAGCTTTCCAACGATGTCTAACATGTCTATATTGGTTGACATTTTACCAGTGTCATTTTCATGCATTCTGAGTTATTATCTGTAAACGCTTTAAAATGGTGGGTTTTGAGAAGTAAAAAAAAAAAATCCTGTTTTAAAACCTTCTGCCACAACAACCCCACCCTCTTGATAAATGACCAATCACGTTCACTTTATTCACTCGTGTAAAGTCATGCACCACTTGGGAGAATTCAGAAATGCAACGGTTGGAATGGTCGTTTCCCTACGACTTTAAAGATATAGTGGAGTAGTTTTGCAAATTTTTGAAAAGACCCGCCCTCTCCACTTTAAAAAAAAATGCACATGTACAACCCTGTACCCGCTCCTGAGAGGGAACACCTATTAAACGCGTGCAAGAGCCCATGTCTCCTCGTGCATGCTCTGTTTAAAAGTTGCTGTTTGCATCACTCAGACAAGCCTACTTTCCAAAAGACTTCAGCATATCACCAGAATGATTGACAATTAGGAGGACCACTTATTCAGATGATCCACACGGGAAAAAAACATCCCCCACTATAAATTTAAGTAGGTCACATGTTAGTTACACAGAGGATAGGATTTGTGTATGTAATTTTCCATTCATAAACAATATAACTACAATAAAAGTCTAAAAACACAAATTAGAGAACATCACCATGTGAATATATTTATAAATAGCTGAGTGAATATCTTGAAAACAGAAGAAAAAGAAAGTTTTACACAAGTACAGAATTGTTGGTGCAACATTAGTTACATATTTTAAAAAATTTCTATACTTCCTCTCACTTATTACAACTATTAAATATTGATTAACAGTTTACGGTCAATATCTCATCATTTCCTTTATGACATGGACCATGATGATTATTAGTTTCTGTTTAAAAAATAGTAACTAATGTTACATTCACACGCAGGCCTTAATGCTCAATTCTGTTTTTTTTGTGAAATCTGATTGTGTTCCGTGGTCGTTCACAATTCCAAATATGTTTGACCCGTATACGATCTGTGTGAGCTGCATTCACACAACTTAAGTGTCCCGCATGCGCAGTAGAGGACGCAATGACATCACAAGCAAGCGTCCTCTGTGTTTAGGGAAGTAAACATGGAGCGCATCTTTCAATCTTTCATTTGTTTCCCAATCTCAGCCAGTGCATTAACAATGCAGTCCTTCCGAGAAGGTTGAAAATAAAGGGGCAGGGACCCCTCTGCCCCTCTCTAGCTCCGCCCCTGTTCCCATGATAAGAAGTAGGACAAAAACCAAAACCAATGGGAGGGGTTTACTGTAATCAAAGAAGAAATTAATCCTAATATTGGTGGATTTTGGTTGGAGCTGCAGTTTTAGCTGAGCTCAGATCAAGTTATAGGGGTTAAAATATGTGTTGGAAAAAATAGAATTGCTAAAAATAAATAGAAGTTAATATAAAATCCTCATCAGTGCAGAAATGAAAATATGTTGTTTCATGAGACTTATTCAGCTTTGTGAGGGCTACGTTAACACTATAATAACTCATACTGTCCCTTAAAAAAAAATATATATATATATATATATAGATATCTATATATATATATATAAATATATATATATATAAAAAACGTTCAAATTTAATGTTTTCCGTTGTTTTGAGAGGGCTTTCCATAACTTGCATGTTCCAAAAAAAAAAAAAGTTTTCTACAGAAAAACTAGTAAATCCTTCTACTGTAGCTTTAAACCTCTATAAGTGTTTACAGGTTCTATCATTTAAAGAATATTAAAACTGCTTTTTCTTGCCAGCCGAGCACATGGTTGATGTTTGTTATGTGAGAAAGTGGGAGAGAAGAGCAGCTACCAGAGTTTCTCTCCTGGACACACCCTGAAATTCAAAAAACACTTTAAAAACAGAAGCGCTGTGACTTATGACTGCTTTATGAGGCATGTCCTACACAGCAGGCAGCTCCTGTCATACCAGATGTGGTGTTGTGCAAAGCTTTTATATACTTGGCTTATTTTCTATTATTCTGTTCTTAAGGAAAATAATTCTTCCAACTCTCCCTCAGATACATAATTTCATCATAACGATCAGCATGTTTTCACTACGTTATATTAGAAACCTTTACCTTTCTAAATAGAAATAGCCCCACCCCCCACTACTTAATGGCACACCAGATATGAGCTGATAGGAGACCAATCCAGTAAATAGCGGTTTTATTATAAAATATAAACAAGAAATGTCTAAATGTGTTTACATCAACCAAAAATATTTCCATTCCTTGTTTAAAATGATCTATCCCCAGCAGCCGCTGTGGTTAAGAGGCAGTGATCCCACTGGATGGGTCGCCACTCCTTTTCCTGTCATAACAACCAGCCATGCATGCTAACTCTCTTGCCTAGAGGCAATTATGACACCTTAACTTTACTGCTGAGTTCTTGGGGTGTGAAGGGAAGAAGGATTACCTGGAGAAAACCCCACACATGCATGGAGAGACACCAGACCGGGCTTTGAAACTCGAGACCTTCTTGTAACAATGCTAATTAACAGAAAAACATAGGGACATTTTTGCAGCCAGCTGGGTGGCAGTGTGCAGCTGTTTTGTCTGCATACAGCAATAAAATTACCTATTTTCATTTTATATCTGCATTCTCCTTTATAGAAGTTTTGACAAATTTTAAATTGAAGTAAAAAGCATGAAAAGTGAAATGAGCCCAAATGTTAGGATCCAAACAGGTAATAAATGGTGAACTACAAGATGTTGAAACTACACTCCAGCTTTCATGCATAGGGCCCTTAGATCAGCTTTATTTCAAAATCTAAACCTGATTATGTCTCTGGTTGGTTTTATTGTCTATATTTGCTTTTTGAAGACTTACAAGTCTTATGCTTTATTTTTAAATATGAAAATAAAGGTGAATTAAATAAAATGGCAACTGAATGAAAAGTGGTAAAAAAGCGCCTTTACTTTCTGAAAGTGCAGAATCATTAAGGTAGTGCACAAACTACTGATGAGTGAAATGGTAAAATTAAAGTTTTATTTTCCATCTTTAAAAGTAAATCCTTAAAAGACACTTTCTTAACTGTATTTCCATACTTTTTCTTTATTTACCTGTGGAATGTGTAATAGAAAACATTATTGCACCTTTCTTACCAGTCTGTGCCGGTAACACTGAGACATGATAGGCTGGGTTTAACAGCAGTTTTAAACCAGCCATTTTAAATGTTATAGTTTGTGGTAGATAAAAAATAAATAAAAAAAAGAGAAGAAACAATTAAAATCCTTTAATATTTGACAAAGATCTTTATGCAAAATTTACATATGACTTTTCATCTCAAAAATGTCTGCCTCAGCCTCTCACTGTATTCAGATGGTTGGATGCCAAAGTGTCTCGGGAATAAACATCCTGTTCGCGGAGTCAACCCAGCTGCCATTAATGGGTTTGAGGAAGGAAAGAAAAAAAAAAAAAAAAGAGGAAGGCTAGAGGAACTTCCTGAGGAACAAAGACAATGTTAAGCCTTAAAGACTCACTCAGGAGTAGTTTCAGCACCTGTCTGGCTCTGCTTCATAATTGCAACCTGCACTTCAAATTTCTTGGGTAATAAACTCAACATAAATATCCTCTCATTCCTTTTCGAAAAGTATTAAGATAAATAATTAGATTCAAGTATTTCAGGTTTAAATCTACAAAACATGACCTTACTTAAGTCCACTGAGTTATGGTGCAGTATTCATTTACTGTATTTAAATTCCCCTTCTTTCCACTCACTCTCCAATGAGAACTGGACCACCTTTGAGCTTCTCTTAATATATATATATTTTTAGTTTAATAAAACTTCACTGGTTAATCCTACTTCTGACTGTAACAGGAACATATTCTCTGCAACTAAACTCAGATGGAGTCATGGAAAACACGCTGAAATGAGCAGATGGTGTACAACATAAGGCACAGCAGTGGTAGTTGACATCATTAGGCTGATATGCAGTAGATGGTTAAAGACAGCCACATCATTGCACAAATTGTTTTTTCCCCCCACATTAAGTCTTTGGTATTTCCTTTCTCTATTTAGTATAGGCATTAAGTGAAACAATGCAAAACTAATTTTTAGTTTCTATTAAAGCACCTAATCACTTAAAAAATAAGGCTTCACATATGTAGACCTTTCACATGAGAAAGGTCTGATGAAATGTTAGAAAGCAGCATCACTGACAGCTGTGGATATGTAAAATAATAATAAAAAAAAAAAAAAATCACTTTATTGGTGGCAGAAAACAGACAGGCTCCCTGATGGGTCTTCTTCAGTCACTTTCACTGCCTGATTCACTCAGCTGGAGGTCGTTCTCTGCAGAGGGAAAACACATTTGGAAATACAGGTTAACTTTGTGTTCAGGGGAAATCTGTACGTAAACATTAAAATAAATGTTTCAGTTCTTCACCTAGGGGTGTAAATAATAATCGTTTTGTATCGATGCATCGATCCAACAGCCGACAATTCGATGCATCGACACGTCCGCAAGAGTATCGATTCATGCATTTTTTTTCCTCCGGTCTATTTTTATCCATTTGCTCCTGGGCGTAATTCTCCCTCCAGTGCTGCGGTGGGGCTAAACCTATTTTGCCCTCCTACCACGCTTCCTGGTTATACTCTTACAGCAGTGTGTTGCAGTGAGCTTGACACAGACATTTTTTATTTATGCTCAATATTGAAGAGTGGTCTGTGCTAGGAAGTGGGGGCAAGTTTAGTTTGACGACGGAGGGACATGAGGGCCAAAAAGAGCGGAGATCCAGGTGGAAAAAGGGTCCCAGCGTTCTCGCGCACCTCGCTCTTCTAGCTGCTCCAACTTCAGGAGTTGTTTTCCACAATTTCAGTCATAAAAACAAAACAAGCCGGCCTCCTGTCTGCGGCACTGTCTGCCCTCAGCTACAATTTGGGAGAGGTGCAGCGGAGCGTCTGTGGAGGGGGCGGGGACATCTGGAGCCAAGGTATTGCATTACACTCAGTGCACTGATTTTGTGCAGTATTTTTTGATGCAAGGCCTTTCAGAAGATATAACACAGGGCCATTATTATTTTTCAGTGAATGAGGTTTTAATAGGATTAGGTGGAGTACAACTTTTCTACTTCTGTTATTTGTTGTTTCTCAAAAAAAAAAATGCATACCGATATTACAGCTTTCATTGATTCAAATTTGAAACATTGTCTAGCCTATAAGGAGTAAAAAAAAAAAAAAAACATATCGTATCGTGGTGTATTCTTGAGTATCGAAAATAATCGAATCGTTGGGTCAGGAAATCAATGCTGAATCGAATCGTCATGATGGGTGTGATTTACACCCCTATCTTCACCCCACAAAAATACCTGTGGACTCAGTTGGTGCAGGTTAGTGTCAAAATTTTCCCTTTAACACAAACCTCAGTCTATTCATTGGTATTTTATGTAGCAACCGACAAAGTACTTATGCATAATTGTGAAAGGGAAAAAAGGCTATAATTATAAGGCTTCAGAGGTTTGTAAGAGAATATTAATAAAAAACTGCGTTGTTGAAACTGAAGAAAACAGCAGACAGCTGAGCAATGAAATTAGAACATGATGAGGATACAAAACAACATCCTAATGGTGAAGGTTCTCAGTCATATAGGTTATAGTCATTCCAACAAAGAAAATGAAAAACAATCCACTGGACTTTGTTTCCAAGTTTGAAGACGTTTCGCTTCCCATTCAGGAAGCTTTTTCAATTCAAAATGTAACGAATAGCGTTGATTTCCAGGTTTAATACAGTAGTCCATCAAAACCTTGTTTGTGTTTTTAAAACATGCACATTGAAACGGACGAACGTGTCCACCCCTCTGGCATGGGGGTTGTGCTTCTTTGTTAGCCTGCAATGCCCAATACCTGTCCAAGTGTCTGAAAGGTCAGCTTTGTTAAGACAGGATTTTTTTTTAAATAGAAATTTTCTTCTTACTTTTGGGACAATATGGTCTGATAAAGAAGACATTTATATACACAGACGTTTTTATATTTTCTCTAACATTAGTGAGGGGTTGGTTTTATGTTGATCATATATCTTTTTAAGCCATTTTTGATTTTTATTATAATTCCCTTTGCCTGTCTAGCACTTTGGTATCAGTTTTTAAGTGTTTTACAAATCAAGATGGATTGTCTGTTGAAATTTATATGCGAAAAAATAAATAAAATATACCGTTTCATGGTTTCTGCCCTCTACAACATTTAATTTAACCTCATATTTGTGAAAAGAGTGAACAAAACCATGTCATCGGATCCCCATGTTAAAGCTGAGGCCTAATTTACACAGCCTATAAGATTGTATTCGATTCTTTATCTATATTGCTTGCGTTGAACAATACCAGTCTCACTAATACAACAAATCCCAGAATACACTGCAACAGGCGGTGCAGTGTGACATAATTCAAGGCCCGTTACCTCTTGCCCAATTTACCTTTCCCCAATTTGTGTACTGTCATGTTTCCAAAATAACTGCAGTGGCCAAATCAAACCAGATTGTTTTATTGAAAGCTTTTAGTCATTTGACAGTTTATGCAAAATAAAAAGAAACACTGCAGATGTGGAAGTGTGAGTTTTGGTTTCGGACTGAACCACTTAAAGCCTTCCTGAACCAAGACAATTCGGGGGAAGTTCAGTTCCAGTTCATGTCAAATCAATATTCTTCCACCAGGCAGGTTTGTTATATAACCCAGATTTACTTTTGGTTGAATTTACACAACAGTTTGCCAACGAGCTTATAAAATGATGTTTAAAGTTCTCAGTAATCAATCTGATTCAGTTTTAGAGAATCCAATCCAAAGCAGCCGTATAACAGCGTATGCTCCTTGTTAGCAGATGAAGCAATGCTCTGATTTTACTGTGGTGTTCCTAGAAGTTATTTTAAGTGGTATGTTATCAGGCAGAATCCAAACAGTTTAAGCAAAGGGATGTTTAGCTTGTCTGAGTCATTCATACCCCCACACTGTTTACTGCATCATAGTAACAGGGTTGGTCGTTAACAAGCCATCCAAGTAAAAAAAAAAAAAAAACACTTTTGATGTAGTCTGTGCAACTTACTTAGTGTGTTCATGATGAGTCCTCCTCCACTCTCCTGGGGGAGACTTGTTGCACCAGTGCTGGAGTTGATCAAAGGCATGCTCGGGTTGGTCGGGGCGGGATTACGTTCATCTTCTGAGTCGCTGCTACTGGAACTGTCGTCGCTGCTAGATGACGAGTTGTTTGAGTCTGAGGAGCTGTCACTGCTGCTCAGCTGATCCATGACTCGAGCCTCTGCCATTAATTCTGTAAGTGGGTTACAATAATTACAAGGAAAGAAGATGTGGAGGCCTGGGTAGCATCCATGAAGGAAGCATACACAGTAAAGTCTGAATGTAGACTTTACTGAAGAAGCTTGCTGGAGCACAACTCATCCCATTACAGTCATATTTCGGCCCAAATCTAACATTTGTCCTGAGCTATAGTGGTTTGATCCAAGATGGCTGTAGAAAGACCAATGGTGCTGAGACTCCTGAAGCATTAGACCATTATTATAAAAATGTAAAAGTGTCCATAGCTGTATATTTGTTATAGTTAAAACACTTTACAGTTCAGTATTTTATTTTTTTTTATCGTTTAACTCTTCACTATTTTTTTATTCTTATAAATTTTTCTAAGGTCCATATTTGTGTGACCATTTTTTCTATAATATTTGCTGCTGTAAACACCAGAATTTCCCCATTGTGGGACAATAAAGGGATTTTCTACTCTATTCCATTCTTTTCCATTCTATTCATAGAATGAGAATGGAAGTTGAGAGGCAGGTTTGTGTTAGTGTTTTAGATGATGGCTCATATATAGATTAGCAGAGTTGCAACAAATGTGCAGCTAATTGTAAAAATTAGGCCTGGTACATGTTAATGGCCCAATAAGACATCCAAATATACAGTTCATAAGGAAAAAAAAACCAAAGAAGTCATTGTTTAGGGTGAGATGTCTCTTAAAGATTTAAAACAATAACATTTTTGGGGGATTAACTGAATCACTGAAATAATTTTTAACTAACTTAGTAATCAAATAACCATTAAATGGAGAACAGACTCTAAAACATGCCATTGGTTAAAACAACCAACTCAGAGCAGAATTTATCCTCAGAAAAACAAAAAATCTATAAGGCAGCTTTTTATATTTGATTAAATGGGAAAAAAATAAATGAATAAATATTCAACAGATTAAAAAATCATGCAAAATCATCATCGGTTGCACACCTGTGAAAGACCTGTATGCACAACACTCTGGCCGTTTCTTAATTCACTAGAACGTGAATACAGACTTGTGTCCTCGCCAAGTATGTTCTTTAGATGAACAAAGGGAAAGTCTGGACTCGGGGAGAACGGGAGCACGCAGCATAAATCTGGGTCAATTGGAACAGAATCATCCTCGTGACGTCACCACACGCTCGGCTCGTCACGAGCTGCATTTTACGTCCTGCTATTAATAGTCTCTAGATAATAATAAATTATTACTTTTATTCATTAGTGAGGGAATAATAAACACATTCAAATAAACACAATTCAAATGAACATTTTTCCAAATAAAACAAAATCGCAATCAGAGCCAGTGGTCCTTCACACACGGCTATGCCAAGAGAGGGCTGCTGCAGACGGGCTGCAGTTAGCTTCGGAGGTCCGCTGGTTGCAACGGTCGTCTCAACTTCGGAAATTTTATTTTTAAATTAAGCATTAAATAGGTAAACGGGCCATATAGTGACGCTTAAAAATATAATGTTCTCGCTTCAAATGATCTTAAAACTTACTTTTATTGAACAGCAACAACAGAAAAGACAACTTTTAGCTTAATACTCTGAGCTCTGTGAGCGCTCCATTGGAAGCTGCTGCTGCCGCAGTGCATGCTGGGACAGCTGTCAATCTCAAGAACGCACAATTCTGCTCTAATGCATACTCCGTAAATAGGGAGGGGCCAGAACAACATCTGGGGACTTTGTCAGTTCTCAGTCTTGTGTTCTTGTGAATTAGAACTATACTAGTCCTGAGGCTGATGACTTTTAACAAGCACACAAGCTCATGAGAACACACAAGCACACGAGAACACACAAGCACACATATTGAGAAACGGCCTGTGTTACCTCTTTCAATGTCATCCATTGGAGATACTGGAGAAGTCTTCTCTTTGGGAGGAGAGCCCTTGGAGCTCGTTGAGGACTTATTAGCACCATTGTTGTTTCCCTTCATCTGCTGGCTCAGGCGACTTGTTTGTTGCTCCAGGCGAGAGTGAATTTTACTACTACCTTCAGCCCTGGAAATAAATATGAAGCCAGACAAAAACAGCTTTACAAATGTAAGACCATAAGCAGATAAATCCCTTAAAGTATAACCAAAAAAATTATCTGCTTCTTCAAAAAACTTCAACTCACCTTGTCTTCTTCACAGCTATATTGCTGTTAAGTTTTTCTAGCCTGTACTCTCCTGTGTCATGGTTCACGATAAGGATGCACTCCTTCATGTAAGGCCTCTTAGATCCCTTAAACACTGTAACTGGAGCACTTGAGCCCTTAAAGGTAAAGAGGAAAAATAAAAAAATAAAGCAATGAATAAGAAAAGTTATACTCTACAGTTACAAGTGGTTGATCAGAGACATTACAGAAAAATGTGATTTCCTGCATTTAGGTCTGATATAAAGGTCCTTAATATTTATGAGGGGAAAAAAGTTATAAGAAATAAAGGTGAATAAATGTAATGTTTTCTCCCCTACTTCTAGACACGGGCTTGACTGAAAGAATTTCTGACCTCTAAATTAGGCAGAGTAATAGTGACTTGCTCTCCTTTGCCCACTTCAAGCTCCCCTTCGCATGATGTATCAATGGATGCTGGTTTGAAGTCATCTGTGGGTTAAAAATAAAAAATTTAAGGTTTTGCATGCGTGGCAATAAAGCATTTATGACGATGGTGAGGTTACGTTACTTTAAAACAACAATTTGTCTTAAAAGATGCAGCTGAATATCTTTACCAGAAGGTGGCGGTAGCGTGTAGCCTAACGCGTTGCTAACATTAGCTTATGTTTGACACCTAATTAGGAGGTATATTTCCTATTGTTTAAGGCTAAATGATAGTCAAGCATAAAAAAGGTAATCGTTTCTCAAAATTAAATCAATCATCATCACAAAATAAATTATTAAGGTTTTTATAAGCAACCGTGCAAGCGGAGAACTTACTCCGGATGTTTAGCTTTCAGGCTAACTAGCGTGCTACTTCTTTAGCCAAAGAAAACGGCGCAGACGTCACCTACTGATTCAAAGCGCCACTTACATCTGACGGTGTGGTAGGCACTTTTAGGGTGTTTCTCAAATGTCTCTCCGAGTTTCAGAACATGTTCCTGGTTGTCAAAGTTGGAATAAGCGGTCCCATTCATCCTGTATGCTTCATTGGCAGTGCACTGTAGTTAACTGTAGGCTGTTTTTATGCTATATCCAGGTACGGCAAGAGGCACAGTTAAGTCCCGCCTTCTATGAAATATGCTGTATTGTGATTGGTTAAAATATTTTTAACGGTTTTCTCATTGGTTTGACACCTGTCATCTATAGTGTGACGTTTCAATTGTACCTTTCATGCTTTGTATGAGACTATTCTTATTGTTAAGGCATTAAAGACACGATATCATTGTGGTTTAATGAATAAAGTTATTCAAAGTGAAATAAATATCTGAATATGGAAGTAAAATAGTCTCATTGGAAACAGCCTTTTTTTTAAAACGCTGAATTTTAAAACACTAAATTTTTAGATATCGAATTCATTACATTGAATTATTATGTGATACAAATTATGGGATTGTTTTATTATTTAAAAATAACCTGCAAAAAAAAAAATAATCACATGATATAAATTCAGCTGTAATGTGATGGGAAGAGTAACAAGACATTTAACACTTGCAAGAGCAGCAATACTCTCCCATTAGTCTCATACTACTTAAATAACAGTAAAATGGATGTTAGTACAGATAATTTTTTTATACATCAAATTAATTACACTCAATTTTTATGTGGTACAAGTTATGTGATTCTTTTAATATTTAAAAATCACCTGGAAAAAAAATTACCAAATAAAAAAATCAGCTGCAAAAAACTTCACCAAATAAAAAATCAACTGTAAAAAAATTTACCAAAAAAAAAACACCTGTCACAAATTCACCTGATCTAAATTCAGACATCTAACACCTGCAAGAGCAGCAATACTCTCCAATTACTCTCATACTACTTAAATGACAGTAAAATGGATGCTACTACAGCTATTTTTTTTATACATCAAATTAATTACACTCAATTTTTATGTGGTACAAGTTATGTAATTCTTTTAATATTAAAAAATCACCAGGAAAAAATTTCACCAAATAAAAAAATCAACTGCAAAAAAATTTACCAAAAAAAAAACACCTGTCACAAATTCACCTGATCTAAATTCAGACATCTAACACCTGCAAGAGCAGCAATACTCTCCAATTACTCTCATACTACACAGATGTTTTATACAGAAAGCTGTTATAAAACATCTTAAGAATATAAAATTATATAATAAGATAAAAAAAGTGTGCAGGTATAGATTC